GAAATCGGGGTTTGCTTTCGGCGTTCGCTCTGGATTTGCTAGGAGTCAGTCTAGCAGACCCCAAGCGAACCCGGGGTTCGGTTGGGGTTCGCTTTCTGTTAGGTTGTGTCTGGTAGGTACTTATTTTAACATAAATTATAAAATTTTCCAAAATTTAGAAGTGAGAGGTGAAAATAGTATTTGCGTTCTTTAAATAAACTGAATTTCTAAAATTCCTTAAGAGTGTGCCGTAAAAGTGTAATAAGAAGAGTAATAGGGTTCGTTGAATAAAAACGAAGTTGACCCTTGGTAACAGTATAATATGGCAGAGTAGAGTAGTATAGTAGACCCTGTAATAACAATAACAATTATTAGACAAGCTAAAAATACACATTTAACTCCATTATAGTATATCATCATTATAATAAATCTCACACTTTATAATTCATATTCTCTTGAATTAAATTGATATAAAAATAATTACCACTTCTTTATCACAGATCAATTTATCATAAAAATAATTCCTTTATTATTTTAGTCATTTAAAATAAAAAAAAACATCATAATAATTATCAAAATCATTATCTGACAATAAATAATTCTGAATCAAATAATCTTATGTGATTTCATTTTGAACATTAACACAAATACAATTTCATGCATTGGACATAACAACACATGAAATTTAATTCAACATAAAATAGACATGCATGACAAATACTCAAAAATAAGTTCTGTCAACACATACATATAATGGAACAACACATAAACATAAAACACATAAATTATCTTTAATATGGTCAAAAGGTCTGGATTATATACTAGCTGTTATACCTATAGCTTTGACAGTCCTGTAAGGAATGCATAACAATGAGTAATCTCCCTTAGCTGCTATAAAAATCTTTAATAATAATAACTGCTTTATTTAAGGAAAAATACCTAGCCTTTTAAATTGAAAGAATTATTTAAATTATATGAAACAAAAGATAAAATTCCTAATTTTACTATTAATAACATTACAGTTATACAAGTTATTTATAAAAATCGTTTTACAACTTTAGACCTGTTTATTCATTTCACTCAGTCCTACATATATACGATTTAACCCTTGAATTAGAGTGAAATGTCTGATAAAATATTTATATTGCTCATTTACACAATCTCTCAAACTTGGATTCACCCTTCAAACACCTTTTTCACTCACTTTCACACAAACATCCAAAATCACAATCATACATGAAAATAATATTAAGAACAGACCTGAAATTCTGGAATTGAACACTTGAAGAAAATAAACTGCTACACCCAAATCGTATGAAATCAGGAAAACCAAGCATCCTGTCAGTTTAGACACAAAGACTGGTATGACCAGTTCTAACTAAAAATACACTGCCCACAAAGAGATTTCCCTCCAAAACCTCGACCAATGAAATCTCACTGATGGGTTACTTCATAGGTCACTGACCTCTCAAAGTTAATTATTATAAATACTATAAGGAAAACTTATATTTATTCATACTAAAGTAATTCCTTAATAATTATATCTTCTAAAGTATTATATACCTTAAATAAATAATAATTGCTGAAATATAAATATTAAGTTAAATTAAATAAATTTCCTGTAAATAATAATATCAAAACTATTTTGTAGATAATATTACTAAACATACCAAATAAACACAAAATCCTAAAATACTAAAAATATATACACTTTTCAAATATTTACACTTTACCACAGAAGTATGCCCTTGAAAGATGTATTTAAGCAAAGGAATTAAGAACATATCTCTTTTTTTTCTTTTCTTGCATATATCCTTCGAGGATGTCAAACTTTGTTGTTTTGGGAAACTCCTTTAAAAAAAAAAAAAAAAAAAAAAAAAAAAAAAAAAAAAAAAAAATGGAAAATGTAGAAAAATAAAAAAAGAATTGAAAACCCCCCTCTGAAAACCAGACGATTGAATTTTGTGGGGATTTTCCAGATAATGACAACTAACAGTTACCAGTACTAATCTCATATTATATTTCGTTCAAAGAGCCTATAATCATTGTAATATTTTTATAATTTGTCGTCGAGTGCATTTCCTCATTCAACCCTATAGTTAATGTATATGATATTGCATTTTGAGATGGCCCCTTAAAATACCAAGACGATAAATTGACCTGAGACTTTGTACCTTATAATGAGCATAGACTACAAAAGTGATAAGTTTCTCTAATGTTGGTTTTGCCCATTAAAATCCTACTTAGCTTCCCTGAAATCGGGAATTTAAAAACAATTTATGAGAAACGATAATTAGAAGATAAAATTTTGAGATTATTAACAATTGCACTTTCAGATATTGTTTACTTCTACTGAAGTAATTAGAAGAACATTTGATTGTTTATTTATGTTTATCATATTATCGCAAATCTTGCTTGAAAGTATACACTACGACCGAAATAGTGATGCGTTGAGTGACGACACTGTTGAATCTGACTGAAATACAATTGAATATCTGACTGACATACCATTGCCAAATCCAACAAAGAATCTGATTGGTGCAATTTTTATAGGTCCGCCCACATCCTCAAATGTATTGCCGAAAAACGTGGAATGTTTCCAAGATAGAAAACGGGCAAAAGATCTGAAGTATTTTCTTTTGGTGAATAAGTGGGACGATGCAATACCTTATTAAATGACTGTGAGTGTTGGTAAACTGTTAAATGGTCTTGCAAATAAAATCTGTGCCAGGACTTCATGCATCTGTACATGTACCCCGGTACATACATGTATTTCTGCGATTGAAAAACACGGCCGTTTTTCCCCCCGTTTTCTTCTTCAGTACATCAATAAAATTAAACGTACTTAGATTCGGTGAATAAATATTTTTAATTATTTATTTTTTAACATGCAAGTATATATGATAATTATTTTTTTATAATGAATATATAAATAATATCCGCCCTTACAGTAAAAATTGCACTAAAAAAACACAAGGATTTCGAATGTTCTGGTCGCTTGTTTATATACTATGACGGCCGTTAAAATGGGTATGCAGTAGCACACACACATTTGAAACATGATATTTGTGACAGTTGTGTCAATAAAACAGTAAAGTTTTGAATAATTCCGATGTTTCACGTGTTTTTTACCAGCTATCAATATATACTAGTATTTTTTTTCAATAACAAGTGCTCGGGTATCAGCTGGGTATGCTAAATACAATAATGCCCGAGTTTTCAATTTGCTTGTGTTTGCCTACCCAGTGTAATAGTTCACTTGTTTACTCACTAGGGACTAAAACATTGAGAAAAAAGATTTTTAGTGCGCCGAAAAGTCGTACAGACTATCCAATTTAACGAACACCGAAAATGGAAAATGTTAATTTATTGCAGAGGAAATCGGCAGATACATGTAGGATAAAACAGCTTTTGTCATTGAACAATATACATGTACCGTATGTGAAAGGAATAACACATACTGAAATATAGTTTTATGGGTTTTTTTTTCTTAGTTCAAAAAAAGTCAACATTGGTTTGCGACCATCAAACATGGCTATTGGCTAGGCCGTTGGACGCTTTCCAACTATATGTAGGCAAAGGATACCACACGAGAGTGGGCGGGTCCTAATCAACCAATTAAAACGCATGTTTTATAAAATGCAATCCGTGATTCAAATTATTCAATTGTCAAATCCAATAGTGTCATCACTCAACGCAACGCTATTTCGGTCGAAGTGTATACTTTCAAGCGAGATTTGCCATAATATGCTTTAAATCTAACATTTTACTACTTTATTTTTCTAGAAAAATCTCCCAAGAGAACGCAGTGCAGTGAACAAAACCGGATATTGTGCATTCCGAAATCTTACCTCAAACGATCTTAACTTGAAGCCCCTTTCAATAAATCATTGTTTAATATTTGGCTTATCCGGAATGTTATCTTATCCGGCCAATTTCTCTGGAACCAGTGGTGTCTGGATTATACGAATTTTATTGAATATATGAATATCACGAGTTTTTGTACACAAAAAGATGCTTAAACTGTTTAATCTACACTTTTGTGCTCTTAAATTGAATATTGTTTTTTTAATTCATCAGAAGAAAGAATACATTTTTTTAAATTAAATATATATTAACATGGAGTTGTATGTTCATTATATGATTTAAGCTATTTCTCGTACAAAAAATTACTATAGTAAATTGTAGTTTACTATAGTTAACTATAATAAATACAATGATACTTTGATTTACCGTGAAACTTTACTCTAGAACATTTTTGAAGATCTAGAGCCTTGGAATTTCGAAATTGAATAACAATGATGTAAATTTTTGGAATAATATGTAAATATATAAGGACTATTTCCTTTTAATATACAAAAAAAAAAAATAGCTTGTAGAATAAAATATTACTGTGCACAGAGGTATTTTGTATGAAGAGCAAATCAATAAACTATTTGTCTAAGGCAAATATCTTTCCGTTGAGCACGTCTTTTCATAAGGACCTTTCATTTGATGTCTCCACTTTTTTCCTGTCAGAAAATATAGGACTTTGTCCTATTGGATTTATGATGTTGTAAAGCTCTTTAGATTTACAGAAAACCAACATATACAGGTAAGAACTTTTCACAACGCATTAAGACATCAGGGAATATATATGAATTCTGAGCAGCTTTCAGTTTAAAATTGTTTGGTGCGGTTTGTGATCCTAAAGTAAGATGGCGGAGTCAAAAGAATGTCAAATAGCTATTAGGTGTGAAGACTGCGTGAAAAGAAATGCAGATTTCTTATGTAGTTGTGGCAAACGTATCTGTGAAAATTGCCTTGGAAAACACAAGAAAGCAAATCCCAATCATTTTGCTTCAATATACTCTGGCGGACCAGTATCTACAAAAATAGTTTGCGAGAAACATATTGGAGAAATTTGCAGATTATTTTGCAAAAATTGTTGTGAACCAGTCTGTACTGTTTGCTCAAAAATCGAACATGAGGGACATAACTATTTGTATCTTGCCGATCGTTTCTTATCCCAAAGAACAATAATGGAGAAAGAGCTTCAGAAACTTGAAAGAGATTTCAAAAGTGCGTATGCGAAACTTGCAATCGGGAATGAACAAAAAGTTTCTGAAGTTCCGGCAAAATATTCAGCTATTCGACAGGAAGTTGAACAGGCAGGAACGACTTTACAGAAAAAAGTTGAAGAGAAAGTTAGAAAACTAAACATGCAAATTGAAGCCATGGAAATGGAGCATCTTGATTGCGTAAGAGACAATAAAATAAAAATCGATAAAGTTATTGAAAATATTGAAGAAACTAAATCTGAAATTTCTAGACAAATCTCTGACCCTAAATGCTTAGCTACATACTGCGTCAAGGAATATCCCTTTGAAAACTGTCCGGACTTAATGGAACGGATTCCTCCGGTTTTCAAACGATCTGAGAATGATCTCAACTGTTTAGAATTCTTAGGAATGTTGACTCCATCTAAAAAAGTTAGCATATCTAAACTTCAAGAGGAAAAAACAGTCAGTGAAGATGATGATAAGAAGAGGAAATCCATTGAATTGCTGGAACACGCAAACCAAATACAAAAGTTTGACACAGTCTATGGATATATTTTCGACCTAATGTTTACAGCGAATGATACTATACTTGTGTGTGGTACTTACAGAATCATAAAGAGTTTCACAATTCGTGCTCTAGATTTCTGTGGGAAAGAAGTTATGTCAATACCTGTTCAAAATCAACTAAAGTATCTTTCACAAGCAAACGACAAAACAATATTTTACACATCAGATAGCATTCAGGGTGTACACAGGATTAAGAATGGAACTACAGAAACTATTGCTTTAGACAATTCTTGGAAACCAAACGGCGTAACCTGCAGAAGTTCTGGAGATATTATCGTAGCTGAGGAGCATAACGAAAACAAAAGTCTAGGACGTTTGAGTATCTATACATTGGACGGTGAAAAGAGGAAAGTCATTGGCTCAGAACATGGTCTCGTAAAGCCCACATATGTTTGTGTAAACATAAACTCAGATATATGTACCTCAGATGAAGACTAACAAGCGGTGTTTGTATTCTTTTCAGCAGGAGATTTGAAAGTAATATACAAAGGGAAGTCTGATAAAACAGAATTTACATCCTTCACACCTCGAGGCCTAGCTACGGATTGCATGGGTAACATCCTTATAGCTGACTATCTTAATCATGCAATACATATAATCGATTCCGAAGGATACTTTTTACGATACATTTTGAAAAACATAAGCTTTCCTACTGCTTTGTCGATTGATGACCGACAAAGACTACTAGTGGGTCATTACACAGACGCCTGTATTATAATCCTGCAGTATTTAAAAACTTCATAATAAAAGATGCATCTAATGAAACTAATTAAGGAAAATTATTTTTAAAAAATGACTATAGCTATATATATATATATATATATATATATATATATATATATATATATATATATATATATATATATATATATATATATATATATATATATATATATATATATATATATATGAGTTGCGTCAAGCGAAAAGGGACCTTCGTGACAAAATTTTGAAAATTTACTTTTTTAATTTTCTTTGAAGAGCAAGTCCTGCTGAGTATTTTGATACCAATATTTACTTTTTTTTTCTAAAAATAAACCTAGAAAATAATATCTGAAACAAACACACAGTCCCTGCTTTTCAGCGTCGTGAACGTTGCGTCAAAAAAAACAACGTCATTTTCCTTGTAAAATAAAAGACTACATAACATGTTTTAAATTAACCAAAGAAAAAACATTTATTGATAACCAATTCTTATAGCTTGGTTATTGTATGAATTGTTGATGTACAGTGTGACACTTAAAAAACCCAACAAGAATAGATATTATAATACTTTTCTGCCTTATTAAGTTAGTTTTCATTTAAATATTATAATAGCAACAAAAAGTTCATAGTGCATTTTGTGCTATATTTCATTCCTCGGGATTTGGACAAGTCATCTCCTTATAAGGATCCCTGACAAATGGTCTGACCATACGGAAGAGGTACTGTTGTCGCTCAGGGGAAATCCCTCCTGGTGGTATAATCTCAGACATCACTGCAACTGCTGTTAAATCTTCGGGTGTAACGGAAGACTTCAGCAACTCAACTTCCGTTTCTGCATGGTAAAACGTTTCTCTGACGTATACCTTTCCTGTGAAAAGATCATTATAAATATATTATTTAATATACATATAAATAGAGAGAGAGAGAGAGAGAGAGAGAGAGAGAGAGAGAGAGAGAGAGAGAGAGAGAGAGAACTGGAATTATTACTTGTGTAGATTTCCTTCATATATATATATATATATATATATATATATATATATATATATATATATATATATACATGTATACACATATAATTAAAAGAACATCTGATTAAAACAACATATGCACATAAAAAATTACAGGGATTTTTTTTTCAATTCCTACCAGGAAATGACGAAGAAAATTTGAAATGATGGAATTTCCGTATGCCTCTCACTGGGCGAAAGTACTGGGAAATAAACGTCTTCCAATCAAACCATTCCCAGCAGTGTTCTCCCGCCTCGTTCAAATATGTCACTGCAGTATTTGATTTGGCACTTTTATTGACCACATCCAGTAGGCCGGGTAGACTGTCAACATCAGTTCTGTGATAAAGACGCTTAATGTTCGCAAATCCAGCATCCACTAGACAACGTCCGTGATAGGGCACTTGCATTGAAAGGGTAATGTTGTTGTGAAGACCTAACAATGTTCTCCATGACAGATACCCCAGGACATATCTGTTTTTATTCTCGCCTTTAGTTAATAAATGAAGATACGTATATAATATAAAAAAGCTTTAGTTTAATTAAGAAAATCTATTGTATACGGTGCCATGCTCTACTTTTTCTAATTATTTAAATGAAAATGATTAATAAAATAAATATACATCACTTTATAATGTTTTAAAATATTGATTTACCTGCGCAATTATCGCAATGGATGATGCAATCTTTTTTACCAGATCCAAAAGTTGTAAGGCAGTGATGAAGCATGGAAATAACACCATACGATCCTTTCACTCCAGCCCCGTTTTCACCCATTCCCTGGTCTTCATCAACAACATAATTCATCTGCTTGTAATTTCCATCAATGGCAACTCCAAAAAGTTGCACTTTTCTTGGCGTCAAGAAATAAAGTGGCCCCTCTTGTCTTGCATGATGTGGAATAGAAAGTGCTTGCGAAAAGTCAAAGGTGTAGTGAACATGCCGAAGATCTGTTGAACAGGGAGGAAGCAATCCCTCTGGTCTTGCAAATGCACCCATTTCCTCTCTCGCTTTTTTCACTGCATCGTTATACACCTGTAATATCCCAGTATATATCACATTAAATTTCATGGAAAAAGTCATACAACTTATATTAAATGAATTGTGATTTTTATGTTATAGTTAAATGAGACAGTATATCAAATCAAACTCTTACCTGTCGCTCCATTTCAACATTAGATAAGTGATCTGTGAAAATGCGCAGTTGCTCTTGCTTCTCAGCTAATCCAACCGCCGTTGAAATTTTGGCTCTACAATCTTCACATTTTGGACATATATCTGAGCGGGGCGTCATATATTTAATATGCCTGTCCATTTTCATCCATGTGGGAAACTAAATTTTTTACATATTTTGATCCAACACCATGGACTAAAAGAAAGGAACCTTTACAAATTTCTTGATTTTGGAAATAGTATGCATACTTCTTCCTTTTTCTTTCTTTCCCACGCTGAGTGTTGATACCAAACCCAACACATGCTAGTCTTCCCATGATAAACATATCTTTTTCATCCCTAGATAGTTCACTTGTGGTCAATATCGAGTTTTGTATCTCTTCTACAGAAATGTTTTTCAAAAAAAAAAAAATCTCTTTGGCATTTCAGCATTTCAACAGGGATTTGTACAAAATGATTAGAAAATATACGTACGTTAGAACGTTATATGCCCTTCAAGGTATATCGTAATGTACGTAGATGTTAAATTTCATCATCATGTTTACTTGACGAATTCCATTGTATAAAGTCATTTCAATCCCTATGCTTTTTTTTATTTCACACATACACCACGAGAAAGACGAAACATGCAAAGGTTATTAATTTATTGTAATGATAGAATAATGTTGAGTTTGGATAATTGACCGATCACAAAACGTATTAATTTAAAAAAAACAAACAAACATGCATAACACTTTTTTCAATATCGATTTTCTTTCCGAGTGGTCCTCTCAGATATCAGATTTTCTGGTGAAGTTAATCTTTTTTAAGCAGATAAAGTTGTGCAATTCTTGGGGTAAATTGAGAATGCAGAAGCTGGATCCGAGATATCAAAATTGCAAAGTCATTAGACGAGAATGTATGATATTCGGTCAATCTTAAAGTTTATTTGTGACTTATCGTGATCTATTTATATGTAAGTCGTAATCAGCGATTCACACAGATTAAAAATGAGTTTAAGAGACTTCTTTTCTTGACATTTATGACGAAAAAATTCGAATACTTTCCTCTAAAATCCAACAATAAAAGGTTTGAATTAGCCAAGCTTTGCTTACGATCATCTCTGGGTCGCCAAAAAGGATAGAATGGTTGAGTTCTAGAAATGTGTTCGAAGCTATACAAAACAACGGAAACACTTGTTTCGACAAGGGATGTTAACTTATGAAAGGTAAGTTATACAACATATGGAATTTCTGTGTTTTAGGTCCTGTTCATGGTCGGGCATAATGCTTTTTTTAAACACTTTCAGCTTTTTGTCTGGAAAAAATGTCAAATTTGTAACATCTGGGATACGGGCACAATTGTTCAGGTGGTGCGAAGTTGGAAACGTATTTAGAATTCAAAGAGTTTTTGAAATCGTTGTGCATTGTAAAATTTATTTTACCTGGTTTTAGATCTCAATTAAATGTTTATGTGAAATATATGGAGATAACGAACATTATTCAAGCTCAAAAGTCCATTTTACAATACAAAAAAGGAGCAGAGCAAACACGGACCTCCAAAATATCAGAGATGGGATCAGGTATATTTCAAATTTTGATATAATTAAATTATAGATGGAACCCTGGCTTTTACAAAGCCTAATAGTTCATGCAAATTAACATAAAATAAACAGTAATGCCCGGAAACGTAATTGAACTTAATAAGAATGTAGTCACAAAACTAATCTCAGTCACAAAGTTTGTAAGCTTAAGAATGGTTATAAAACCCTCGGAGATATTCCATTTAAATAAAGTTAGCAAAACTTATAGGTATTAGAGTTCGAAATAGATGAAAAAGATGAGGAAATTCAAAATAAATGAAAAAAGATGAGGATAAAGGAAATCAAATAATGAAAAAGATATAGGGAAATATGCTTGTCCTTGGTTTTTGCGCGGAGTGTGAACATCACAAGTCTGTCCTCTTTACCGCAACAAGAACCAAGTGAACACCTGGCTGGCAAGGCATGATTATAATGTACACCTTTAAACATTCTTCAAAAATTGTGAAATGCATGTAATATGGACTGAGGTCCCAGTCTGAGGAAAAATTGATTAAGTATTGAAAATGCCTATATCAAACTCTTTTTCAGTACTTCTGGACTTCCTACATATACCAAAAAAAAAAAAAAATTGCAAGATTATGTATAACACATTTAACTTTCTACCAAACTTGTAACATTTATTGGCCCCGAGGTGCATAGTGGGGTTAATTTTTCCAAATATTTAAATACACAGTTTAGATTTGAAATTTGCTTTTATTCATGGACATCTAGCAGACAAACTGTATTAATGAGCAATAAACATTTACTAGAGTTGTAATATTTCTGTCAATGTGGCCCAGAGTTTAGACTCCAGGATAAAACTACAAGAGAATTTAATCGTATATTGAAACTTTAAAACATGGACATCTTGCAAATAAACTGCTTTATGAATGAATAATCAAAATTTTACTTAAATTATGAAATTCCTATATCTATGAACATATATTCTAGCATCAGGTGGGTGACGAAAAGGTCATGCGTTGAAAATACATTACATTTTTGATTTTTTCTTATGGTCAATAATTAGTCAATTTGTTTGTATGCTGATAATTAACACTTTAACCTTTACCAAACCTGTTAATGTCATACCCTAATTCAGGTATTCATTCAGGTATTAATTAATCATTAATTCATTCAGGTAACAAGATGGGGAATAATTTGCTCTTGAAATAAAAATCCACAACAGCTTTGAAAATCTTTCTTTTAATTCAAAGCTAACACTAGAAAAAAAATCCTTTGCTTAAAAAAGAATTGCTTTCTCTTTAGTATGTAGAATTTGTGCTGATTGCGCCTAGGATTCAGGTCCCAGGAATGGGCTAAATAAGCCTTATACAGAAAATTCCTTACATCTTCAAAAATCATCTTAACCCATTTAAAGTTGCATGTACATTTGAGACGCATATTTTATTTTGCACTCAGTGGAAATTATAGCACTGGATGAAAAAAACAGTTTCCGCATGGCTGAAACACTGCTGAAACTCTGCGGAAAATTAAGCTTACTAATAGTTTCCGCAAAGTTTCAGTACTGAAACTTCAAGTTTCATCAAGTTTCCGCAGTGCGGAAACTTAAGGTGTCCACGAATCCAAATGGTTTCCGCAACTGAAACTTGATGAAACTTGAAGAATATGTAAGGTTTCAGCATGCGTAAACAGTTGATATACATGCAGCATACTATGGTTTCCGCATTGCGGAATCTTGATGAAACTTGAAGTATATGAATGGTTTCAGCGTGCCTAAACATTTGATATACAATTAGTATACTATGGTTTCCGCATTGTGGAAACTTGAAGAAAGTTCAATATATATAGTCTCAGCTTCCACATTAGATAAATTAAGAGTTGATATTTTATACTATTTGTCAAGATTCTACTTGGCATTTTTTCATGATGGTAGTTGAAAACTAAAACAAAATTTATTATTTGTTTCTTCAAGCCCTGCCATGAGTGTAGATCATCAATGTAATGTCTTTCATTTATGTAATGTCTTTTCTATTTACAGCAGATTGACCATACCTCCTTCACTAAACATAAACTGTCAATTTCAGAAAACAATTTGAACAAATCATATGATTTTTTTTTTTTAATTTAATTTCAATAAGATGCATGTCTAATATCATCAAGAATATGTAAAAGTAATTGGGATAATAAATGCTTAATTTCACATCAATGGTAGCCAACAAGCATCAACGTGGATTCCTTTGTCAAATAATCAGTTTGTAGTCCAACATAATCCAACAGAAAAGTCCTTGAGTGGTTGACTTCAGTTCTTGACGACTCGCTTGCACTTATGTTAGTGGTGGCTTTATGTTTTCTGAATTGTGCAACACAACACTGTAGTCTGCATGTATGACCTGTTCCCGTTTCTGTTGACTTTAACATGTCAATGCTTAAGTACACCAGAGACGTGGTTTCATCCTTGTAGAAATAATGTCATGTTCAAGTTGGATTGACCTGCTCATCCTATTTGAACCTATTGAAAATATATGAATATAGTTTAACAGAATCCCTAATTATTATTAAATTTCACAATTTCAGCATTTTTTTACTAGAATGATTTTAAATAATCTAAAAATTTATGTGTACTCGCTAGTCTATTAATAAAAGTTGCCTCTTTTAAATTCTAAGGACAATAAAATTAAACAAACTTGAAATTCAATCTAAATGTACATGAGTACATGTATATACACACATGTATATGCCAGGGATCGACATTAACGGTTGTCCGATTGCCCGGGACAAGTAAATTCTCAGTTCGGGCAAGTGAAATTGTCGACATACTTGTCCGATCGGGCAAGTGAATTTTTCTTATACAAATGTACATATTTATTTAGTTTACATTAATTTATAAATAAAACAATAAATTGAACACTTGATTTCCGCCACGCACCTGACTGACAATGTTTTGCATTCGAAATTCCTTGGTAGCGTTTCTGGATTATACCGTTCATTTAAAAATCAAGTTCGTTGTTTTCTTTCGCTCTACGTCTAACAAAATTTTGTGAACTTCTTATTAGGAAATTAGATTATTTATTCACGCACAGAATATAAGTACAATGTAACACGTTGTAAGATGTATGTTTCGTAGCAACTATTTTCCTTAAGCGTTGCTTCACAGTTATCGCTGAAAATCACGAATCACAAAATGATCCTACCGCAATTAATTTTCAAAAATATGATTTTTTTGTAAAGGAAACGGAGGGTTATTGCTGCATGGCAGTGTATGTTAACAGGTTAAATTTACAAGTATAGCGGTATACATTTATGTACAAATGCAGGATCGAATTTTTTTCAGGTACCCGGTAGCTCAACTTGCCAAATTGACAGTAGTGTATTTCGTCACATTTTTTCTTTTCAAAACGTTTGCAGTAATTAATAATTTTCGTCTTAAGATCCATCCTAATTTTGGGCAACCAAGTTTTGCATTCGGACGAGTCAAAGTTTGAGATCACTTGCCCGAAGGGCAAGTGAATCTGAAAGTTAATGTCTATCCCTGTATGCATATCGATATTACGTGTTATCCCTTTGTTCTAGAGTCTCAGAGTAAATAAAGGATTTCTTTTTTCATTTTACTCACACATCAA